AACATAATGAACGTTTTTCGAACAGAACACAGTTAGATCGGAACAGGCGAACGGCCCAGCTTAGCGCACTCTCCAAGGGTCACTAATCCCCGGCCCGCCGGCCGCCGGAGCGACTCGTCACCTGTCACACCTCAGCCGGCTCTCGACCGCCTCCCGGGAGTGGTGGGGATGGGTCGAGGAAGAAAATCGCATGGAAGAATATCGCATAATGACTGTACCAAGTGCCCCTCGGGGGAATGACAACCATGGTCGTGTTGTTTCGCAGGGGGACTCAGGCGGTCCGCTGCAGCTGCCCACAAACAACGACCCCTACTGCCAGTACCGCATAGTGGGGCTGGTGTCCTTCGGGCCGCTGTGCGGCATTGGGCTGCCCGGCGTCTACACCAGGGTGGCCGCCTACGTGCCGTGGATCGAGAGCGTGGTGTGGCCCGAGCCAGAGACAGACTAGCAAGCAACGGGACTGACCGCCACCTGGAAGGCAGGAGTACCAAAATCCAATCTGAGTGCTTGGATTCGTAAAGGCTAAATCCTTAGCTGAGAAACGGATTCCCTTCTTTTACTTTCCAAAATATTGTGGGATGTACTCCTAGAGCTGCCCTATCACGGACTCAGCACCTTTGACAAATAGTGAGTAGATCCGATAAGTGTACTGTGATAAGTTTTGGACTGCAACAGGCATATTATGGTCATCCATTAATAACATGTGATATTATTTATCAACTTTCTTGTTTTTATTTATCCACAAAGTTATGTCTATTCATTCATGTTTCTTCAGTGATTATAAAACTGGGTTTACAGGAAACCAGCACACTCTGCTTTGACATGAAATTGTGAAAAAGGCAAGACAGGTGCTAAAACGTGTAAATGTTGGCCTGGAGCTCAAAAAAACATTTGAAATTTGTACTAAGTCAAACAATTCTGACATAACTAACATGAAAAGAAAGCCTTCCCTACACATTGTGTTACAGTAATTTCACTTTGGCTACAATGTACTAAAATAATCTACATACATTCACACCAATAATAGAGCTTCTGTAGGTCTATGTACAATTATATTACAACATAAGACTAATGACATTAATAGTTAACAATCTGTTCTCATTACTCAAGGTAATGATGGTAACAAAACTAGTCAATAGGCTGGAGTGAAGTCAAGGAGGAATTTTCTAATTAGTCCATTAAGCAAACTAAAATCAATTAATAAATAAGTCACCTCCAGTAAAATACAATATTAAGTTAAAGTAGAAGTTCTCTTTAAAATAAAACACAAAAAAAAAGGTATTGTCCAGTCTAAATTCAGATCAGTTCATTTCATTCCCTTGGTTCATGTAGCTGTCCAATTCCTTGTCAAGCGTTGATTTGGTGCTGGCCATGTACTGGTCTAGCTGCTGGTCGAGTTCCTCTCGGCTGGGTGGTGCTTGGCGCGCTCCTCGGCCACGTCCCCTGCCGCCTCGTCCACGGCCGCGTGCCACTGGTCCAACTGCACCTCTCCGCATTCCTTGGACTCCTCTGATGGCCTGACCACCTCGCCTAAAAAACAAAACGTAGGTGTAAGATTCAGAGAAAACTGAAAGAAAACATCTAGATGGCCAAAACATTAGAGCCTTACCTGAAGGTACCACGGCCACCACGTTGCTGTCCTCTTTGCTGGATGAATTGTCCTCTGCGTTGACCTTGTACTTGAACTTGACCTAGGGTAGCAATGTGCATCCTACAGACAACAGAATCAATTTAAAGCTAGAAATGAGAAGTGTACTTACCTCTTCCACCCCTAAAAGTTCGCTGAACATTGAATCCTCTGCCCCTGTTTCCTCTCATGCCTCGTTGTGGTCTGAACTGGGTATTAACTCTGTTGATATTAAATCTGTTGGAGTTCTGATAGGTGCGATTTTGAATTTGATTCTGGAAACGGCCAGCTGTATTTAAATTTCCAGTACTCTGACTGCGACTCAAGTTTCCAAGACTTGCACTGCGAGCTGCAACAAAGGAGACAGATAATTGAATGCAACTAAATTTCATTAGTTGTACAATGAAGCATAAATAGTCTTAAACAACTTACACAAAGTACCTCGTTGCTGGCGCACAACCGGCACGGGAGCTCTGATCTGACGAATGGGAGAAAATTGGGCCTGAGGCCTATAGAGTCTTCCCCTGATACCCACAGAGAGGCGCGCTCTCGGCGAACGTGGCACTGACTGAGACCGCATTTGACCCACAGGCCTAACAGACAAACGATCAGACAAAGTTGGTCTGGCCACACCAAGGCGCTGACGCAGAGTTTTCTGAAATGGAGAAAAGTTGGTGGTTGTTCTACTAAAATCTGGTTCAGCATAGGAGAAATACTTCCTTGTCACCAATGTGTAAGTACCTGTTTAATCTTGAGAGCTGCCATCACTGCAGGGCGACGTTCCATCTGAGCAGCTAGTCTTCGGTTCCGAGCTGATGCTTGTTGTTGTAGAGCAAGGTTGGCCCGCACCGTCTGAACTGTTCCCTCTTGCCGAGTTGGTTGATGACGCAGGTACGTGAAACTGTTGTGTGCCATATTTCATTTGTATCAACTTTATGCCATGTGTGACATTTTTGAAATTGCCTGGTGCACTTGCAAAGCAGGATATATTCACTGCTTGAACTTTGAATGCAATCACCAGCAATAAACCTGGCAACACTGCCCTAGGGTACGATCCTTTGGGAAACCACTCAGTGACTTCCGGAAAAGTTTCGTCCTCTCAATAGCAGCCAACAGCTCAGTTGCACCCAGTAACAGTAGAAATGGCCACATGTTCTGGTTGACAGTTACTGCCAGAGCTCATGGGGCTTCCCCTTAATGAGCTGTTACTAGGCATAAGTTGAAGCTGTGCAAGATGGAAAGACTGCATAAAATATGCAAGGATGGAGATCCGAATCCACAGCTAATTCAGGGCATTGCATGGTTCATGCAATCTTGGAATGAGCACTTATAGGACATGGCAAGATCAGGTCCAGTGCTAGTTGCCAGGATCATAATATGCTCATCAAAGAGATGTCAACACATCTCTTAGAAGCATGGAAAGATAGATACTTCAAAATGCTATCAGGAAAAGAGCCAAACTAAATATCTAATAAAAAAAGATTAGTAAAAAAATAATTTCCACTGAAGAAATTAATAGCTATCAATTTAAGAGTAAAAAAGATACTTCAGGGTTGACTTTGTCAAGTTTGAATGGTTACAATTAAGAAGAGGAAAGTAGCCAGCTCCCAAATAAAAGTTGAAGCAACTTTGGTGGATATGTTGTTTTGATCATCTTAAGCAAATTAAAGAAAGTTATCCCCTTTGATTGTGCATGACAAGTTTGCTTTGGTCTTTTGAGTTTCAGCTTTGGACGCTTGGTACTTTGAACCATAAATATGGTAAAGAAGAACCCATCTGCCTTGTCTTGCAGATAGCAGAGTGCAGAGCTTAATCGCACACCTGCTTCAATGGCTGTGGTGGTGGACTTCAGATTGAAAGTTAATGGCTTGTGGATAGAGTGCAAGAGTGATCAGGCATCACAATGCGACCATCTAAATCTTGGAGACACTTCTAGGATTAACCATTAAAATGGAACGTTGGCATCCTCTTCAAAATGAACTGGCCAGTATTAACTCCAATCATAGTGAAATCTTGATAGGCTTGGCTGTCCAGTAGAAAAAGTATACTTCAAACAGGGATGTGGTGCAACATATTTCATGGAAAATTTTGATTTCAGCTACTGCAGAAACTTTTGAACAGTTTTGGTTACAAAGCCATAAGCTCTTTCATTATCGCTGACGGTTATCAGGTCTTGCTGTGCTGTATTTCAACTTCTTCTCCATCTTGAGGTAATATGAACATTCATTACTCTTCTTAACTTGACATGTTGACAATGCTTTAAGGAAAACAATATGCATGTTTGTTCGTTGAGTGCAAATTGCTGAAATGAGCTAAATAATTCACCTTGTAACTCTTGATTCAAATTTAGATGATGTTTCACAATTCATGTCCAGAATTGATTGTGTCCCAGTCCCCGACATTTTAATGTAAGCGTTGAGTTGAAGAAGACATCTGCAGCTTCTTGAAAATTATGATGAGGGAGTGATGAGTCCAATATAACATGACGATTAGTACAAAGAGACAAGAATTTCCACTAAATCCAGTAAGCAATGCTTGTGATAGGTTGATAACAAGTATTGGTCTTACGGTTGAGTAACTTCTCACAAATTAAGATGGCAGCTACTGAATCCACTCTCACTGCTAGTCCACACTACAAATGCCAACACCACATCAATAATGCCAATAATTTCCACCACAGCCATAACAAATGCCACTGTCAATACACTCTATCAAGAGTTATTACAGGCAATATAAGTTGTCCCTCATTCAATGATTTGGACAGACCTTGAGACATTTAAATTCAACTCATTCGTGGTCAGGGCCTTCTTCCCAGAAGAGCAACATTCAAGTAACACCACACTTCCCACATGTATCATCGCATTTTCCCAGCATCAGACCAGGGCAAAAGGGTCCCACGTCTTTAGAATGCACTTGCTGCATGTTAAATATCAACCCAGGGAAAACGTCTTCCAACACTGATGCTCACCGTTCATGTAAAGACATCTGGGTGGAATTCTTCAGGATGATCTTTTTGTTGATTCCAGCCATTTTAAATAGTCTGCAATAGAAGAAAAAATATGGTGAAGTCTTCAATTGAAAACATGAGAAATAGCATTGCGCAAGAGTTGCTAAGAATAGAAGTGCAAGACCTCCCGCACATCATCCACAGAACCAAAATTAAACTTCAGAAAAAAAAGGGAAACTCGTCGCACATAAATATACATAAAGAATAGACGATCATCCGCCTAAGCAACTGTAACCATAGAGCAGCGAAGCAAATTCAATTGGACCCAAAATATTACAGGTCAAGCCTAGAAGCCTAGAGCATTGAGCTCGTAGCTTCTCTACAAGAGATACATGACTTACCTTCGGGGAGAAACTTTAAACTGGAGTCGGTAAGTTAAAAAAGCCTGGAAAAGGCTTACTGGAAAATCTGTTTCGTACGATGGAAGTTTCCACACGTACTTCACACAGAAAGGAAAGGAAATGAAAATGCGAGGTCACGAAACCGACGCTGAAAACCCACGGAATCCAAAATGGCCGGTGGATTGTGTGGATTGTGGTTTGCGACGGAACGGGAACGGAACCAGACGCTGGTCACTTTATTTTGACCGGTTGCTCGACATCGAATCGACGCTGTTCGAGAACGTACCCGTCTGGGCTGTTTGTTGATTGTTGATTGTTTTATTTTGAATGATTTGAAATTTCTAGCGGTCGGATTGGCGGTTAAGCCGTGCTGAGTTTCCGACCTCCTTTTCTTGAATTTAGTGTTGTTGGCAAACCAGGTTTTAAAAGTGATTAGTTAAACCATGAGTAAGAAAAACCAAGACTTGTCAAAGCTTCGCAAAAAGCTTGAGCAATCATCCAAAAAGACGCGGAGGTCTACCGATCTTCGACGTTCATTGGGGAGGAAGTCAGTCGGAGATTCTAGTTTTAGCGATATTGCAACTCTTGAACAAGCCTCATTCTCTGGTTCTACTTTCAATGAAAGTTGTCATCTTAACCCTGATTCTGCAATAATTGATCCTGCAGTAACAGGTTCGAACTGCCTTCCAATGTCAGTCATTATTTTTATTCCACCTCTCTTTCATTCCTTTTGAAGTTACAGTTTTATTTAATTTTCAGAAAATCCAGATTGGTTCAAGACCCTTCCTCCTGATCTTCAAGCAAGTGAAAGCAGTATTCTTGAGGCCTTGCAGAAAGACAGAGACACACAGCTACCCAACAACTCAAACATATCGTTGGTAAATGCGTCATTTGACAAACGTAAAGTACATGAGGTACTTGATTGCTCTGTAGTTGTAAGTAGAGAATCCATTGATCGACAAATTAAAAGGTTTGTATTATCATTTCAAATCACAGTTTATGTTTTTATATCCAGATAAGTTAATATCATTTCAAGAACACTATTCCAAGAAGTATTGTTGTTACAGGCCATCCTTGAATGTCGATGACAGTGCTTCTGGATCGCCTCTCATTGAAAATCTGTCCAAAGAACTTCCCCAGCGCAGGCCAAATACTCTTGGAAAGGGACTGAGGAAAAGAAGTAAGAACTCTCTTGATGCTCAGTTTAGAAATGCGTTGGAAGAGAGTGAGCACAGCGATGAGAGTCTGGAGGTACCAAGAAAAATTTCTAAAACCTTTTCAAAAGAAGCGTCGAATCAAAACACTGTAGCCCCTCGCAGGTACATTGTAGCAGAAAATTACTATAACTCCATTAATATAAATACATACTGTAGCATAATACACCAAATTTCATTATTCCAGTAAAAAATCATCCCCCAATGAAAATTCACTTGGAGAACTTCCTCAGCGCAGACCAACAACTCTTGGGAAGGGACTGAGGAAAAGAAGTAAGAACTCTCTTGATGCGGAGTTTAGGAAGGCATTGGAAGAGAGTGGGCACAGCGATGAAAGTTTAGAGGTATCAAGAAAGACCCGTGCCAAAGAAGGGTCAAATGAAAATAATATAACCACACACAGGTACATTTTTTGGTTAAAAATTTCCATTGTAAATTTGATACACATATAACTATAATTTACCAACTTCTGTTATTCTAGTAAAAATGTAGACCTCGAGCCATCCCCCGTTCAGGATTCACTAGGACAACTTCCTCAGCGCAGACCAAATTCTCTTGGGAAGGGACGGAGGACAAGAAGTAAGAGTTCTCTTGATGCAGAGTTTAGGGAAGCATTGGAAGACAGTGGTCAGAGTGAAGAGAATTTGGAGGCACTACGGAAACTTTCTAAGAGCAGCTCAAATGAAATATCACAAAAACATAAATTATCTTCACTTGGGTATGTTGCTGTATTTCAAACAAGTTGTTATTTAGTTCAAGCACATTCATTTGTAATTGAACATTTTTTGTCATTTAAGTCAAACTCAGAACCAAGGACCACTTCTCACTGACAATATACCTGAAGACCTTCCTCGGCGCAGGCCAAATACTCTTGGGAAAGGACTGAGGAATAAAAGTAAGAACTCTCTTGATGCGGAGTTCAGGAAGGCATTGGAAGAGAGTGGGCACAGTGATGAAAGTTTAGAGGTATCAAGAAATGCCCGTGCCAAAGAAGGGTCAGATCACAATAATATAACCACACACAGGTACATTGTTTTGTTTAACATTGCCATTGTCCAATTAATACACATATGACAATAATCGAGCAACTTTTGTTGTTTTAGCAAAAATTCATGCATTCAAGATTCACCAGAGGAAGTTCCCCAGCGCAGATCAAGTTTTCTTGGGAAGGGACAGAGGACAAGAAGTAAGAGTTCTCTTGATGTGGAGTTGAGGGAAGCATTGGAAGACAGTGCGCACAGTGAAGAGAATTTGGAGGCACTAAGGAAACTTCCGAAGAGCAGCTCAAATGAAATATCACAAAAACATAACTTGTCTACACTGAGGTATGTTGCTGTATTTCAAATTTGTTGGTATTCCAATTCAAGTACATTATCAACTTTTGTCATCTAAGTCAAACTCAGAACCAAGGGTTGATTTAGTGGATTCAAAACTATTATACATTTCATGATTCAATTTACCAACTTTTTTTATTGCAGTAAAACCCCGAATCTGGGGTCTCCCACGACTGAAAATTTGTCAGGGCAGTATTTGAGGCGCAGGTCCCACACTCAGCTATTGAAACTGACGTCTAGAACATTGGCAACTGCTAACATAGATAAATCTGTGGATGAATCCTTGGATCTTCCTCGCCGCAAACAAACTACCATTGGAAAATATCTAAAAAGAGATTTTGCTGATAATTCTGCTCTTGATGAGTTTAAGAAGGTTCTGGAAGACACTTCATCATCTGAGGATGAGAGGGATAATGTGGGAAATACCGCTACACCTAATGAGAGCCTTTCTCGGTTAGTCTGTCACTTAATTATCTTACTGCTTCTTACTTACTAGCTTATTAAAGTTATATATCTGACTTAACCTAAAGTATGCTGTATAACTATCTAAAAAAAAAGTGTTTATTAATGTCTGTCATGTTTTAGAAATCCTGTACATGATAAAGAGAATGTACCTCACATTAAAATTACACCAGTGTTAGAGCACTCTGGAAGTGATAGTTTCAACTTGCCTCTAGGTGCAGAAGCAAGTAATTTGAGGTAAGTACCTTTTACACGCTGATGCACTTGGTCTTTTAATTTTTCTGATCTTCTATTCATATTGACCTCTCGGAATTTCATCTTATAATTTGTGATTTATTTCTTTTTCATTTAGTGGTTTGCCACGTGATATTGAACCTAAAAGGAAAAGTCTTTTTCTTGGAAGAAAGAGAGTGTCTAAAGAGTCTGCAGTTAGTGTAGTGGCTGAAGACACTGAACCTGAACCATCTCAAGAAAGGTAATTTGTTTTTACTTGCAGTACCTTGTAATCAACTGCTTGTGAATTTTGATTAAAAATCCTTGTATGTCATCTTTCTCCTATAGCAGAAAAACTGATTCAAGAGGTAACTTAGAGCCTAAGTCTACCAAGTTGGGAAGAATGGACAATGTCCCCCAATCAAGTGAAGATTCAGTAACTGACAACACAAGACATCTTCCCCTTAGTACTGCCAATATTGAAGTGATCCAATCGGATGATTTGCCAGTGAACTTGAGTGCTAAAAGTAGAAATTCTTCTCAGTTTCCTGTGCAGACAGCTAGATCATTTTCAATGCTAAATATTAGTTCACCGCAAGTCCAAAGTAGGAAATCTCAGCAAGTATCAGTACTTTCAGAAATAGTCCCAGTGAACCTTTCTGTTTCACGTGAATCTGGAATGCTATCTCCCAGAAGTGCTGCCGTGCTCTCAGAACATCCTTCGCAAGCTATGAATGATACACCCCTATCCACTCAAGAATCTCAGGCTCCAAGACGCATCAGTAAGAGCTTTCAAGGAAAACTGATTGATAAAAATCTTGAAAGCCCAAATCTCAAAAGTGGCGATTCTGTGAGGAACACTGGTGTGGATGATGAGAGCTGTCATAGCTCTGCTAGTACTATATCTTTACCATCAAATTTAACTAGCGTGGGAACAGACTCAGTGTTTACAAGAGGTTCCTCAAATGCAGTGAAAATATCCTGTCCTGAAACTCTTACAAGTTCTGTGCCAACAATAGATACACCAGGATCAGATTCAGTTTTCACCTACCCAGCCAAAAATAAGCTACTAAAATCAAGTAGTCTTCAAACGGAATCCATCCCCTCAAGCAACAGCATTCCTCCAACAAATGTTCCTGAAGTACGCCAAGATGGAAATGATTCATGGACTGAAAATCCATATCCAGACAGAACAATGGATAGTTTTGGAATCGGAGAGTTAGAACCTCTAGGAAAGGATTCTTCACCTATTTCGGAATCTGATGATGAGAGTGACGAAGGTTATGCAAATGAAGGGGAAAGTTCAGACAGATCAGAAAATCCAAGGATGGCTATCAAACTTAGTCATCTGTCTGATGCTTCTGCTAAATCTTTGTCAAATAGCCCTGTACACAGTTTTCCATCTCCAGCTGCAAATCTAAAAGTTTCTGATGGCCGTAAAAGTATCAGAAGTAGCCTGAATCAATCCAACATTGGTCTGGAAAATGTTGTTGCAGCAGTCAAACCAAACTTTGAGAAGACACAGAATATTGGTAAGAAAATCAAAGCACCACTGAAGGCACCACCCAAAAAGTTGACAGAACCTGAGTTGGATAAAATGAGATCTGGTTTAAAAAAATGGATGGACGATATCAAGAAAGATGTCCACACCACTGTTGAGGAGAGTCGCCTTGTATCTACATTAAAGACCACTTCTTTCAAAAAACCAGAAAAACCAGCACCTAAGGCAGCAAAAGGACCAGCCAAGAAGAAAGACCCTGATCCGTATTTTGGTGATTATCGTCCTCCAAAGAGAGTCAAGCCTCGTCCCTACGTTACAGACAAGATGTACAAATTTCTTGAGAAGAAACTGAAGGACAAATTTGGCCTTGAAGCTAGAATCAAAGCTGAAGATTTTGTTGCAGTTTTGTGTAATCTTGTACAGAACACAATCAAAGAGAAAAATAAGAATAAATATCATAAAATGGTATTTAAGCTACGTAGTGAAATGGTCAAACTAGGTCTAATTAGGACCCAATTTGACTATCACTTATTTATTGAAGACTATCTTCCAGATGCCTTCCGTGTCAAATCGATTCCCTGTTATGGATGTTCTAAAGGACCTACCCTTGATGTTGAAGATTTGTACAGTGATCTTTCTGTCAAATAGGTCTCTGCTCCTCTTTAAAGAAGCAACCATTTAATAATCAAATGCAATATTTTCTTTGTGTGCTATAGGACACTTTTTGTAGTGTTTTGTTATATAAAATAATTTTTTT